GTCCTCTGTTCCTCTGTTCCTCTGTCCTCTGTCCCTTTTCCTCTGTTCCTCTTTTCCTCTGTTCCTCTGTTCCTCTTTCCTCTTTTCCTCTGTTCCTCTGTCCTCTGTTCCTCTTTTCCTCTGTTCCTCTGTCCTCTGTCCCTCTTTTCCTCTGTTCCTCTTTTCCTCTGTTCCTCTGTTCCTCTTTCCTCTGTTCCTCTGTTCCTCTTTTCCTCTTTTCCTCTGTCCTCTGTCCCTCTGTCCCTCTGTCCCTCTGTTCCTCTGTCCTCTTTTCCTCTGTTCCTCTGTCCTCTGTTCCTCTGTCCCTCTGTCCCCCTTTTCCTCTGTCCCTCTGTCCCTCTGTCCTCTGTCCTCTGTTCCTCTTTTCCTCTGTCCTCTGTTCCTCTGTCCTCTGTTCCTCTGTTCCTCTTTTCCTCTTTTCCTCTGTCCTCTGTCCCTCTGTCCCTCTGTCCCTCTGTTCCTCTGTCCTCTTTTCCTCTGTTCCTCTGTCCTCTGTTCCTCTGTCCCTCTGTCCCCCTTTTCCTCTGTCCCTCTGTCCCTCTGTCCTCTGTCCTCTGTTCCTCTTTTCCTCTGTCCTCTGTTGCTCTTTTCCTCTGTTCCTCTTTTCCTCTGTTCCTCTGTTCCTCTGTCCCTCTGTCCCTCTGTCTCTCTGTCGTCTGTTCCTCTGTCCCTCTGTCCCTCTGTCCCTCTGTCCCTCTTTTCCTCTGTTCCTCTGTCCTCTGTTCCTCTGTTCCTCTGTCCTCTGTTCCTCTGTCCTCTGTTCCTCTGTCCTCTGTTCCTCTGTCCTCTGTTCCTCTGTCCTCTGTTCCTCTGTCCTCTGTTCCTCTGTCCTCTGTTCCTCTGTCCTCTGTTCCTCTGTCCTCTGTTCCTCTGTCCTCTGTTCCTCTGTCCTCTGTTCCTCTGTCCTCTGTTCCTCTGTCCTCTGTTCCTCTGTCCTCTGTTCCTCTGTCCTCTGTTCCTCTGTCCTCTGTTCCTCTGTCCTCTGTTCCTCTGTCCTCTGTTCCTCTGTCCTCTGTTCCTCTGTCCTCTGTTCCTCTGTCCTCTGTTCCTCTGTCCTCTGTTCCTCTGTCCTCTGTTCCTCTGTCCTCTGTTCCTCTGTCCTCTGTTCCTCTGTCCTCTGTTCCTCTGTCCTCTGTTCCTCTGTCCTCTGTTCCTCTGTCCTCTGTTCCTCTGTCCTCTGTTCCTCTGTCCTCTGTTCCTCTGTCCTCTGTTCCTCTGTCCTCTGTTCCTCTGTCCTCTGTTCCTCTGTCCTCTGTTCCTCTGTCCTCTGTTCCTCTGTCCTCTGTTCCTCTGTCCTCTGTTCCTCTGTCCTCTGTTCCTCTGTCCTCTGTTCCTCTGTCCTCTGTTCCTCTTTTCCTCTGTTCCTCTGTTCCTCTGGTCCTCTTTCCTCTGTTCATCTGTCCTCTGTTCCTCTGTGCTCTTTTCCTCTGTTCCTCTGTCCTCTTTTCCTCTGTTCCTCTGTTCCTCTTTTCCTCTTTTCCTCTTTTCCTCTGTTCCTCTTTTCCTCTGTTCCTCTGTCCTCTGTTCCTCTTTTCCTCTGTTCCTCT